GGGGGGGGGCGGGGGGGGGGCGTAGACTTTTTGGGGGAAGGGGTGGCGGACACTGTTAAAAGTATATATTTTCTATTTAAATTACATTTCGTTCGGTAGGGCGGTAGACTTTATGCGTGGAAGAAACTCTGATTTCAATTCAGTACGTAACACACTAAAAAGAAAGTTAGGCGTTCTCTAGTTGAAAAATATTTAGTTTTTTTTAGGAATCTATATTACCACTCTTAAAGTATTAATATGTAATATTAAATAGGGTGGAATTTATAACTAACCGTAAACTTTGTTTTTTTTTTTTCAAATTTTTTTTTTTTAATATGTAATCAATAATTCTAGCAACGTCTTTGACAGTTACCAGTGTTTGATGTTTTGAAAGACGTCCCTTTATTAAAGGGATCCAAAATTTATAAGTATACACAGTTTATTTTGACGCATTGTAGAATGAATGTCATCAAAATTAAATAGAGGTATGTTATAATGTAGCTAACATTTTTAGACTTTGAAACAAAACCTACAGTTAAGTAGTGTATAAGTAAAATATACTGTTTTCACAAGGTTGCATAGCTAATATAAAAGACATATTATAATTATTATCTAATGAAATTTACAGCGTTTTATTGTGTTTTTTACATATGTCTTAGCTACACTTGGTTTGTTTCGCTATTCTGGTGAAAGTTATTTCCCTTGAATAAAATTTTGTAATTTGAAATTTTCAAATGGGAGATAATTCGTTGCTTAATTTTACATTCATTTTAAATTCCTGCACCTTAGGTTGACCGCTTAGATATAAATACAACTTTAAGTTATTATTTACTAATGTAAAAATTATACAGAGCATAAGTTATAAACAAAATAGTTTGGTGTGCTTTTGTAGCATTATCAAGTTGAAAAACAAATAGATCAGTAGCCGTTGTAGATTGCAATACTTTATGTTACTAGACATACAGTATAAGTCGTAAACTAAACATCTAATTATTGGCTTTTCATATACAGACTTAGCAACAATTTCAATAGAATGTGAGTACGATTGCAAACTGGAATTGAAGGAATTAGTACAAACTTTTGCGACGAGAGAAGCTAGTAAAATTTGATTTTAATGTCTACTTATAACGTGTAGGCAATTGATAATAAACTAATATGTCACTTTTAGTTGACTGTTTTCTTATACATCTGTTTTAGTAATTAATTTGTGTGAAAGGGGGTGTTTTAATTACTTGTGCATAGGGCAGATGCGTAGCGACCCTTCCCGGCGCCCGGGGACAAAATTTCGATTTGCACCCCCCTAAAGATTTCGATTTGCACCCCCCCCTCCCTCAAATTTTCGATTTGCACCCCCCCCCCCAAGCTTTCCAACCCATTTTGTCGCCCCCTAAGGTCTGCGCCCGGGGACTTATGCCCCCCCCCCCCCCCCCCCGCCTCGCTACGCCTCTGGCATAGGGCGCTAAATAACCTGGCGCCTTCACTGGTATTACCAGTGACAGTGGTCAGAGGATAAGAAAATACCCAGTGAGAAGATTTTCTATTCAATTTTTTTTTCCTCACACTTCTGGGCTAGCTAACTTTTTTTGTGTGTGAGCTAGCTGGCAAAAACAGGATGTGACATGACACGTCAGTTGTCAGTTCTCGTTAACACAACAAGGGAAAATAACTCCTCTCCTATCATCTTGACAGTGCTCTCCCTTGTTTTTTTTTTTTTTTTTTTTTTTTTTTTTTTAATTCATTTTTATTATTCAAGCAAAATTCTAGGAAGTTGCATGCGCTGATAATTATGCCAGACATGCACTATCTGCAAACGTGTCATAATAAAGCCAGATTAATTTTTTTTTATATACAGAAATATTGGCAAATCTTTTTTTTTTTCAAAAAGACGACGCCCATGTAAAATTTTCAAAAAGCTTGATCACAAAAATGTCCAATAAATCACGGTGAAGATATTGGAATAAATGGCACCAGGTTTTAAGAATTTATCATAGAGAGGGGGGGGGGGGAATAAAAGCAATAAAACGAGGTTTTTAATCAAGGGACGATAACCAATACGGCTCGCCTTTTATAATCCAGCAAAATTCTCAGCGTAAAATAAAAAAAAAATTCCTTAAGAAAAAACAAAAAGTTTTAAAACTGTAAGTCC